ATTTAGTGTTCTACCATGATGTACATGTAATATTGGACAGGTTTGTACAAAACAGCACAAGTGCAAAATACCTGCAGTATAACGACTTTGATGAACTCAAGATGATCGGATCTGGTGGCTATGGAACAGCTTATACTGCCAAATATAAAAAGTATTCAGAAGTAAGCTATTTTATGCCACAAACTGTTGTGCTCAAACAGTTTAAGAATTTTAATGAAGCACCAGAATTATTTATTTCCGAGGTAAGCGAATAATTGATAGTATTAATTACAGAGACATTTAATTTTGATGCTGTAATTATTTTTTCATTTAACAGTTCAGAAATCATGCCAAGTGCACAAACATGCATAATTCATTCCTTAAAATTTATGGATACACACAAGACCCAAAAACAAAAGAATACATGATTGTTATACAATATGCTGACAACGGCAGTCTTTTGTCTTATTTGGATCGAAATTTTAACAAATTGACATGGACAATGAAATTACAATGTTTGAGGAATATCGTAATTCGTCTGTATAACATTCATAACGCGGGATTAGTGCATTGTGATCTACATGGCGGGAACATTATTTTGGATGGTGTATCTCAGCCGTTAATATGTGATCTTGGTCTCTCGCGATCAGTGAATTCACATGATAATGAGTCAAAGTCGACCATCCAAGGCGTTTTACCCTTTATCGCACCGGAAGTCTTTCATACTCGCAAATTCACTCAGAAATCAGATGTGTATTCATTTGGTATCATTATGTGTTTGATTGCTACTGGTGAACCACCGTTTAGAGATAGGGAATTTGATAGAAATTTGGTATGTGATATCATGGATGGACTACGACCATCGATGCCTGATTCCGCACCAGAGGGATACAAGAAACTTGCAGAGCGCTGTTGTGATGCTGATCCCGATAAGCGGCCTGATGCACGGAGACTACGGGATAATATTGGCGAGCTTAGTCGAATGGCGCGCAATAACAGCAACGCATGGGATGCCATCTATTATAATGATGTGAAGCCGTTATCACGTCTCGAGAAGGAGAGTAAATATTCTAGTACGCTCTTACCCACTGGAGGTCTGCCTAAACCGAGAAATAGTTCTCATCAATTACCTCCCTTATCAAATTTCAGCTTGTCCAATTTAGAGGTAGAGTTAGGAAAGATCAACGAGGAAGGGTAATTTGGATCTGGTGGCAGTTATGAAGACAATGTTCATGCGAACACTCGTTGAACAAACTTGTAATCTATTGTTTGTAGTTTTAGGGTGACTCCAATAGTTGAATTAAACAAACTCGTGTACTTTTAGTGTTAGATCCCTTTGCCGGGGTAGATTATTTGAATATGTAAGAAAATATTAATATAGTAATGAATTCTACGAAACTGGTAACACGTTCAATGTTAATCGTTCCTGAAATAAATGTGTAGCTACATTCGAGGCGGTGAAGCTTTATTGTGAATTTCAGCACCAGTTTGATTGTTTTATGCTTCAAATGACCCATGCCGTCGGCCAATATAACAAGGCGAGAATTTCTTGATCAACTTCTCACCGTGATTGTCTTCATTTTTAACATTGGGCAATGATAATTTAAACCTTTATCGACGCGATAGCCGCTTCACGAAGGATTTATTGTTCTTATAAGATTTTTTGCAAATTAAAGGAGCATCTTTGGTATATCATCATCTGTTCCGTAATCTTTTCCAAATCTGCTCCTTCCAAATAAAGTCGGATACATTCCATTATAAGTGATCAGTTATATCAATCACCCATTTTGTTGCCCAATATACTGAGCATATTGATGAATGGCTTTAAGCATTTAGGAAAGACAAAGCAATAAATTTGTCGAAACAAGTCTGGTCATCTTTGTATTTGATGCACCCACTGCACGTCGAGCATTCTCCCACTTTCGATCACTTGTTTCCTTCTCCCTGATACACAATTTATTTATCTCGAATATCATGGGCTACCACCAAAAGTAAATAAAAGGCAAATTCAAACATTCTGCTTATCCAGTTCACCGACGCCCGAGGCAATTTATTCAGTCCAAACATCTGTACTTCTACGTAGAAACCTTTAACACTATCTGAAGCTTGCATTCGTCTCTTTCCAATACAACATAATGGCCGATGAATCAAGCCAAATCCTAGGCCAAGAGGTTTTCGCGCAATCAAATGGTAAAGAGCATTTTAAGATTAATTCAATTCATAGTACTGTATTACTTTGAATTATTGGGATTTCTAAGCCAGCGTTAGCACTTATTTCTGGCTAGGATTTAGTGTGATCACTTTTCTCATGGTCACGCTTTCGGGCAACAGTGACAGAAATTATATCGTGTTTCACATAACCACAAATAAAGTAGAAATTTCAACAACCGAAGTATGCGAACTTAAAGTCACCACGTTAGAAGAAGTGAGTATATGATGTTTACGGTAAGTTTATTTTTGACACAAACAATATACTGCAGTCAATTGTGCCATGAATTATAGTTACTATTTGAACGATAAGTGTGCAGAGTGTCGACATTCGTGCGATTTTTGGAACAAAGAAATTATTCCTGCGCGTTACTAAAAAGTGTTGAGACAATTACGCTTGCTATAACCAATCTTCGTATAATATGGAAATTAAAGATGTGGTACCGTTCATGGCATTGTAGACTGAAGTAGATGTATTGATATTATGCCAATCCGGAGCGTAAAAGCTTTAACTCCATCTCATCTTTGTCGTTTTGTTTACGTTATTGTACTGATTATTCTGTAAGATTTAGCGACAGTTTTAATCGTGAGGAAAAAAGTGGCGTTATTCTACATTTGTATCATCAGCGACACTCCCGTGCATATTTTTTATTGACTCAGATTCAGCTAAAATTCATACTGGCGCCCTTCCGATGCTCTACGAAAAACTTTACGCAAACTCTACGAAGAACTGTTTGCGATGAATGCTAACAATCGAACATGCTACCCGTTCGCTGAAATACTCATATTGTTCCCTATGCAAAAAAAAAATATTTATCGCCCGTCTAAAAGTCCCAGCCACTTCCTACATTTGCAATGAGAGTATTAGCATAACGAGTAATAATGCAATACTATTACGCAAAAAATTATATACCTAAAGTCAACTTTTTCTTACGAAAAATAGTAGAATTAATCCATATATTGATGTTGCTTGAATATCTTGTGTCTTTATTGAGAAATCGAATTTATGTGCTATTCGGTAGCCATCGACTAACTCTTTGCAATCAATTGCAAATATTGACATAAAGAGCAATGCAATTACCATAAATTAATAATAAAAGCTAGACGCATCTATTGTATTATCAAGTTATGCGACCTAATTGTTAAAAACCCAATCCACATAAAAATTTACGTAAATTTGCATTAATTTAAAGCGCAAAAATTATTTACTTGGCAGGGGAGATGTATGTTGCGTAACACATGTCAGCAGAATTAATTTTTAGCCATGCGGCAGACCGAGTAAAACTTTCGTAAAATTAATTAATGAATCCACATTTGAAATATCAATTTAATGAATTGAGACCAATCCAAGACATTACTCGCAGAGCAAAAGCTTCTTTCGGGGGCCTAAAGGAATAGGCGAAAGACAAATACGCCCGAAACAGGTTAGCTGAAATATAAAATAGTAATAGCAATAGAATATAATAACAATATACCTCAAAACCCCAATGTAAGCCAGAATTACCAGCCACGCAAGTTATACGTTTGATTGTTGCAAAATAATTATTTTTTTTTTATTCTACGATCCAGTTTTCGAAACACTGAACTTTCTGATATGTCTGTAACTTTAACAACAAATATCGGGGAGAAAGGTGCACCTTGAAAAGTTCAGTGTAGCTGTTGAGTCAACCTATTATATTCTATTCTAGAAAAAACGTGCTCTAATTACTCTTTGGCCACCAATGTTAAAGTCATACCCGCCGAAGTTGTTATTTCTGAGTTGTGTAATTTACAAAGTTTGCCTGTGGCGTTGGTATAAGTTTGCCGTTTTTATATTCAAAAAGACCTATTGGTTTCCGCTAAGTTTAATGGACTTTGACTTGAGCCGTTCATTGATCAGTCTACCGGTCAAGGTCTAATTTGTCAAAGTTTATTTTCTTTTTCTTCTTTTGCGTATTCATAATTTTGTATATAGTGTTAGCAGTGTGTTATTGTATTTATAGTGATAAATGTCTGAGTAATTGACGGGTTAACTGTAATAGTAAAACACTTCGTGACTATCTTCTCAAACGTAAACCAAACGTTGAGTAGCGTTACTTGTTGTAGTCTGTTTGAATTTAGAGAGATGTAAAAACTGTGGTTAGTTGATGCTTTGCAACCATGACAAGTCAGAAGTTTGCTCGTGTATCAGTATAAGCCATGCTGTCTGCTTATACAGTAATTGAAATAATAGGTGCGCATTTGGTTCTAGTATTACCGGACTAGTACCTAACATTAAAATAAATTAATCATGGGGATTTTGCGGAGGAAGATTATATCACCTGACTTTCTGCGGCCTTCAGAGACCGGAGTAGAAAAAAAGCAGTCAAATGGTATAAAAAAGCTGCTGAACAAGGAGATGCCAGTGCTCAACATAATCTTGTATGTTATGCAAATGAAATTGGAATAGAAAAAGATGAAACCAAAAGCAGTTGAATGGTATCAAAAAGCTGCCGAACAAGGTGCTCAATATAATCTTGGTTTGTGTTATACAAATGGAACAGGAGAAGAAAAAGATGAAATGAAAGCAGTTGAATGGTATAAAAAAGCAGCTGAACAAAGACACGTCAATGCTCAATATAATCTCGGTGTATGTTATGCAAATGGAACTGGAGTGGAAAAAGATGAAACAAAAGCAGTTGAATGGAGTGGTCATAATATAATTATATTATGACCACTTAGTATAGGTTATGACTCTCATTTATACTATGAACACTAGGTTATGACCTCTCACTTAGGTTATACCCGCTCCCACCCAGCATTTGCATCGTCGTTTGCCCGTGTAACCATCGAGGATGTCAGCTGAGGTGTTAGTTGGAAAAGTCAGCCGCTACGAAGTGACGATGAGTTTGCATCGTCATTTGCCGAGGATGTCAACTGAGGTGTTAGCTGGCCGTACGGCAGAAGTAAACAGTTATGAAGTGACGATGTGTTTGCATTTGCGTCGTTATTCGAGTGACGACAAGATCGTGTTTGCATCGTCATTTGCCTTTGTACCCATTGAGGATGTCAGCTGAGGGTGTTAGTTGGAAAAGTCAGCCGCTACGAAGGCGACAATGAGTTTGCATTTGCATCGAGGACGACATGATCGTGTTTGCATTGTCATTTGCTGAGTGGTCAGATGAGGTGTTAGCTGAAGAAGTCGACAGATACTGAGGGATGATGAGTTTGTGATTGCGTCGTCATTGCAGGGGTTGGTTGTGGAGTTAGCTTATGGAGTTAGCCAGCAGAGACGAGCCAAAAAAAAAATAAAAAAATCGTTTATTTGTCAACTGACGACGAGTTTGTGGTTGCATCGTTATTGCAGGAAATTTTTCTGTAATTATGCATTCAAATGAATTTATGGAAAACCAAATAGTTTATGTATCTTGTTATAATTTTAGACCGATCAAGAATGTATTGCCATTCTCTTTTCCCATCCATTATTCGCACTTGAATCCGACTAATGCCGATTTCCGATAATTTTTTTCCGAGAATAGTTTTATGTAACGGTTTTTTATTATTAATTTTACACCAAGTGAGATACTCGTGATATAACTTTGCGCAATTTGATCTGGAAACATTCTCAGACCATAGTGAAATATACCCAATTATAATTCGAATATGATTGGGGTAAATCAGAGATAATCTTTGGTCGATATATCTATTTCTTCATCAGCTGTATCGTATTCTTCATCGGAGCTTGATACGAAAGCATCCTCGTAGTGCGAGGCTCACACTGTTCTTGACGTCTCATCTTAATCATATTTTTGTGCCTTCAATTAACGTCAATATGCGGACATGTTTGTCACTTGTTTTCTCTAGTTGAATTTTTAACTGGTACAAGAACCAGTGACACTTTTTCTGTGCGTTTTTGGGTGTTTCAAGCCGTTTTGTCCCTTCTTTGAACACTTTTATATACTTGTCTCTAGTTTCTCTAGTTAAAAAAGTTAATTCTAGAAAAAAAAGATAAACTTTTCTTTGATAAATAACGCCGAGAAAATAATGTAATAAAAAATAAGAAAAAAAACATGAATAGTTACGAAAAAGCTGGTGATACTGGTGATCCGGTGACAGTTGCCTAGAAAACGCTTCTAAGCTTCTAACTCGGCCGTACGGCGGAAAAATCTACTTGAAACTGTCACCGGATAATTTTTTGTCACTGGTTCCTGGCCGTACGGCAAAAAAATGAAAAATTTTCTAACTCGCAGCTCTCGAAGAGAGTGCACTCCGTGCAATGGTACCATAGAGCGAGGACGCTTTGCGTCTAAAACCAGGGCGACTCTTCGAGTCAAACAACAAATCGATATGGAACTCAAATTATTAAAGAGAAACGAAAAAACGTATCTAACGAAATCTATAATAAGATTGATGATCTTACCTAAAAAATTTCTGTTTTATAAAGAGTTCCTAATTAACATTCGAGTAATCTTTCAAGTAATCTCTCAAGTAATAATTCAAGTAGTTTGCGAGGTAAGATTGTTTCAACATATAAATATCTGTTACTTTAAGAGACTCATAGTAGGCTCGAAGAGGCATTACTTTGCAATAAATTAATATTTTTGTATCGTATTAGGTTCAAGACGCACTTCGTTTTCAGATCCAGTCTTTCAGAAATTTAAAAACCTTTTCGACGAGACCATGCGAGAAAACGATTATTCTAAAGCCGATATGTTTGCTGAAGTTGTAAGCGATCTTCGAAAAGAGAAAAAGATCAAGGTTATTTCGACCAAAGCGGTGGAAAATTATTATAATCAAACAACGAAACCCGACACCAGGACTATAGGAGCGATCAAAGCTTGGATCGAGCTTAAGACTAGAGAAAAAAATAAATCTGCGTGCAGCCGTACGACCAGTAGTAATAATATCAATGAAGAAGTTAGCGATGACAATAGTGGTGATGGGGAAATAAACTATAACAATAATAAATAGTTTTCGACCTGGGAGAGCCAAAGTATAGGGGCGTACATTGGATGGTCTAGGGGCCGTACGTTCTCTCCCTTGCAACTCTACCGTAAGAAAACAATATTATTTATTCTTATCCGTGTACCTTTATTTTAGCCGTGCCGCCGTTTCAAATCATTAAATAAAATGAACCATCCGAATTATTATTTTTTGTTATTCTGAGTTAATGGAAAATGTCATCATCCTGAAAATCAATTACGTAGTATACAGACGTTCGATACATTTATCACATACTATACCACAGAATAAAATCGAAGGTCATGGAAGCTTTTATGCCATGTGTTGGGTACCCCTGATTGTTACTATGACCAAATTTCTGCTGTCCCCGAAATAAGCGTAACACAGATGTATACCACAGAAGGTCGTAGAACTTTTTATGCATGATGTAATCGTGTAACCTGCTGATTGGAAAAATTTTTCGTTGCATCGCTCCCAGTTTCACATTCCCTAGAATCTATTGCAGGACAATGGGACAATGGCTACTATTCCCGTACCTAAATGAGACCAGAAATGAGCGGAGAAACGTTTTAAAAGGACAGTATATTTACGGTGTGGTTATTCGTCGCTTTCATAGTGATTCTATTACTTGCGTTATCTCGACTTGCATTGTTACCAAGTTTTTTTACTACCATGTCATCCGATTACTTATGTGTAAAAATTGCCGAATATCTGTCCGGTTTAAAAACTGAGCATATCATGGCGGCCACGCTTATTTACCAAGGGTTGGAAGAGAACCCGTGGATTAGCAAGAATGAACTGAGGGGTATTGTAGATAGAGCGGTTAATTTAGTACAAAGATCAACTACTATGGATTTTGAACGTAGTGGAAGGCTTATTCAAATTATACCACAGGTTAGTTATGAAATTCTCGTGAGAAAAATAGATCGATACACAGAATGATGAGTGATGCGGGCGGGGTGTATTTCTAAGGAAACGAGTATGACAGTATAGACTTTCCTATTAGCCCGCCAACAGGAATTTTCCTCGACGGCGTGGAGGATTTTTATATTGTGAACCATACCCATTTCTATGTTGATGATATAGCACCTCACAAAGTTCCATTCGCGTAGCCAGGCCGTACCGGATGTAGCTTTGTATTGTTCTGACTGCCACGTGGTTAATGGTATACGGAGCGCGCTTTATTCAAAAATGGCTTCTAACTTATTTATATAACTGCATCTAGTTCGATATCGCATTCGATTCCATTCATAACTTGTTGGATGTTGGAATAATAAAAACGGTATGTTTCGGGATAGGTAAAAGAAAAGAATAATTACCTAATGGCGTTTATTTTTATTAGAACAAGGAAAAGCCTCTTACTTCAGAGCAGATCAATTATAATATAAATAAATTGAGAGGAAAACTCGCAGTAAGTTACATATAAGATTACGATTTCCATAATATATTATCACTACTGACAAGAGATTCATATTTTATTTCCAAGAACGGTACCTCAAAACTCTACCAAGAGTTAATTGTCATTTTGAATGATGCTTCTATTTCGGAACTGACCTGGCGAGACCCCCTAGCTAGTCAAGTTATTAGCGCCGAATCGGAGTTGATTAAACGATTATCAAATAAGCAGAGAAAACAATTTATGGTATGTATAAACTCATGTTTTTTGGTGCGATAGTAATCGATCTATACGTTACCGCAAAACTAAATCCCATCTCGTTTAAGAAACCAGCCAAAGAAATGATGCCAGAAATGCCTCCTATGATACAAGAAGAATGTAATGAATTCGTGTCGAATTTTCCAACAAGGGGTGTATCGAGATTGCCACATGGATTATCACATACTGGGGACTGGAAAGAAAGTGAAGAAAAACTTAACGAAGTTGCAATAAATATTTTGGGGGCATTAAAAGATATTTGGTGTAATCCGGCCTTCCATCCCGAGTTTGTTGAGACGTTGAATGAGGGTACCTATGTAAATAATGTAGTCGTTCCGTTAATTCACGCTGCCTTATTTAATAATCCTTTTGGGGAATCGGCATTTATCACCACGTGAGTAATTATTATTATGACGTTCGATTATAGAAACCTCTTTATATTAATGCCGATTTGTCTATATTTTTAGTTTTGAACGCCAAAGTAACGCAAGCGCAGATAGGAGAGGAGATGGGAAAATGGGGAGGCGACCCGACATTATGTTTGTAAGTAAAGAGGGTGGTAAATTTTATGAATTAATGTATGCGGAATGTTCTCGTATTGTTTATACTAAGCAAAAGGGAGATGATGATGATGTGAAGTTATGGCGCGAAGCTAATGACGGGATGTTCTGGGCACATAAAAGTCGCAGATTGGAAAAGGGACAATTTGGTATTATAGGAATACAGGTATTAGGACGTATGTTACGTTTGAATGTACTTATTAGAGATGATGTTGAGGTGCATCGATATTATAAATTGCGAGAATCAGAGATCCCCATTCATTATTCTAACGATCCTTCTATTTTAGCCGAGCTTATAACTACTTTACTAATTTTTCGAAACATACTATTAGTTAACATGTCAATATTACGCAGTTCTCGCTTACGAAGATCAAGTAGAAATTTGGGTAGTTCAACTGTGTCGTCTGATATAGAATAGATAAAAGAGATCAATTTTTTAAACTATCGTTGCTATACTGATCAAGCTCCGCTAAATCATATGCTTGTAGTACACCCGAAATAGATTTAACCCCGAAATAGATTGTGCAGCGATTACCCAGATATAAAATAACGCATTATTAATCGCCTCATCTTGATTGGTTGATTGTCTACGATCTATTCTACTTATCGATTATCAACGATTACTCACGCTTCCTGCGATATGAGATCACAGCCTATCAGGGGTTTTTTATTAGCATGTCCCACAAACTTTTATGCTGATCTCCGATTCGCGGATTTAAAACATATCGATATGATATCGCTCCACTGAGGTTCACTATAACATGATGTAATTTCAGAAGTTACGATGTGGTTATAATTATTTTCAGAATGAATTTGCTATATTCACTTAATTTATATATTTATGCGTTATTTTCCGTACTAATTATATTACCATATTATAACAATCATGACGAGTAATACTAATAATAAAACTGATCCAAGTGAAAAATTCCCTCAATTACACGAGTTATTTTTATATAAGAAAAAAGATATAACAGCTATTCAGAAAAAACTTGGTATTAACAGTAATATAAATCAAATGGCAGTGTCGGAAAGCAAGAAAGCGAAAAAACTTGCTGATTCATATGAATTGTTGTTAGAATTGGTGGGAGATTTAATTCCTATACAGAAAAAACTTGGTATAGATATCAATCCCGTTTTAGAAGCGGAACTTAGAAGAGATAAGACCTCTTCAGATAAACCAATTAGATTATTTGATTTACTTTTATGCTTAGAAGATGATATAGCGTCAATTCAGGAAAAAATCGGCATTGTTGGCTATACTAATCAAGAAATGGCAGAGGAAGCCGATAAAAATGCGAGAGTGTACCTCCAAAGGTTTGAGAAATTCCACGGCCCCTTAGAAGATGATATAGGTATACTAATAAAGAAATTCGCTGATATGGGGGTAAAGAAATTTTGGTTTACTAGTGAGGGGTTACCGTTGTTTCCGAATGTCACTCTTCAACAATTGCACGAAATTTTTGTCAAAAATTCGGCCAGCGACAATCGGTGCCCATGTTTAGAATCAAAAGTAAAGCAAGAAAAATTATCACAGATATACCCGTCGTGTAGCACCTGATCTTAATCTTCTAAGCAAGGCTAAGAGAGCGGTACCGCAAAAAAAGAAAATTTTAACTTATACCGTATCTGAGTCCTCATCCTCGTTCCTCATCTGGGTCCGACTCTGAATCGTCTAACTACGAAGCGACTACCTCCGGCAATGGTGATAAAAATTAACTGTGAATGTGGGGTCGTACGATAAGCAAAGAAGCGTAGTTAGTCTTTATCATAGATTCGAAATAGTCTTGCTTGCTCAGGGGATTGATTTTTTCTCCGATAATTCACCACAACATAATTTTGTACTGGTGAGGTGTGATTGTCAGGATTGTGGCGTAAAGCTTCTCCAGCGATTGTCATAGCATGAGCTAAATTCTTTGCCCCATGTACCACCACAGCGTATACAGCCCCTATTTTACGTAAATGGCGAGGAATTAAATTATAACCTTTTAAGAATCTATTAAACCATTTGGCCCCTGGCTTACCTGGCTTACCCATTTGGCCAGAAGATATAGCGTTCTGTATCCAGGTTAGCAATTCTTTGGCTCGTTCTTGATTCTTTTCCATAGATCTAAATTTCCGAGGAATATCTGGTTGTCCCCTGTTCTTCGCAAAGCCTGTCACACCGGCATCTGTAATACGCAAAGTAGTAACTTCAGCGGGACGCATACAGAGCATTATCATAACATCAGCAAGGGCTTGTGAGTCAGGCAGTGTCTTAATGTTATATTTATCCAACCTTTCTTTAACCGATTCTAATGTAAAATGATCTGGGTAGTCGATTTTCTCAAAATCCTCAGCAATTTTTCGTCGACTTGTTTGAATTTTGTTAGACTTATCTGTAATTTCAAAGATTTTTGTCGCTTCAACTATATTATATGGAGCATTAAGATTTCGTAATTCTTTCCGAAGCCGGGAAAGTCTAGAAGACCCAGCAACTTCATTCAAAGCCGACTTAGCTAACTTTATTGCTTCAGCCTTTACATCCTTTTCACCAAGTTTATCTCGTAAAATCCGTTGTGCTATCTCTTTGATGGTTTCTTCTGATTTTACTAAGGCCTTGTTTAAAGTTACGATATTTATATTTTTTCGCTGGCCTTTTCTCTGAGTAGGAATTAATATGCTTACCTGTTCCTCACTGAATTTGAATCCTTCCCGAAGGCGTCTGCGTGCCTGATTCCGCTTTCTATCATCCGTAAGATTCTCGAGAAACTCAGAAGTATATTTACTAAGATCAGATGCACTCATTCCTGGGTTAAGATTGTATTTTCCAACGATTCTTGTTGCAATAGCTGACATTTCGATTATATTCACTTTGTTAGGTTATGTCCTCTTTGCTAAGTTATATACTATGCAAAATATTCTTTCAATTCGAAAATAATTATTCATTGGTCGTATTATTATTTTTTATTCGATTTTATGGGTGACTAGTATAAAGGACAAAAAAATCCCCCCCTTTATCAAATTTTCATCAATATGTCTACCCCTGTATAATCTGATCGTGCCCACGTGGAAAATGTACTTTACCATAAATAACCATTCTCTTGGAGTATCGTTATTTTTTCTATCCATTCCTCATCATCATAACTCCTTGCTCGGGGCTTGCCATCGTCTTCATACAGTCGGAGCATAATTTCCTCACTTATTAATCGTTCTCGTCTAGACATGTCCATCAATGTATTTGGGTCGTCATCGGTATCTTTTGCGAATTGGATCATGTCTGCGTCCGAACACAATCTATCATGGTACGTATATGCTAAATTCCTATCTTTTTCAGTAATAGTAACGAACTTATCTGGATCTTCACCGTGATCGACTGCCCATTGCCTGAGACGTTTCTCACGCTCCTCACGAGGTATGTATCCCGGAGGTGACGATATCTGTTGGGGTGTATTTGCTTCATTGCAAGTTTTACTGGGTTGGGAAACGTCGTCTATGAATGAGATATTTTCTGGAGAAACGCATGTTGCATTATTAATAGGTTCGATTTCTTTTGTAGTCGAACGGCCAGAATAGGATACTTCGTATTTCGAATCGATCTCTAGAGAGCTACGATTATCGCTAGCTTCAGGCCCTTTAGGGAGTGGTACCACAGCGACTCTTCGAGTCATAATCTTAACTGACTCTGCAGTACTACCCGACGTTTCTTTTTCTGATTGAAACGTCACAATTTCGGGTATGGTAAATACAGGGATATCTGTGGATGCGTTAGCGAGTGTCTCAGGTTGAGGTGTGTCAGAAAATTCCTCGATATCACCTATCGATTCACGTAACTTGGCCACGATTTTAGAACGGTCAAGGATGTACTGCCATTCTCTTTTTCCACCGCCGGCACGTTTTCGTTCAATGTCAACTTGTGGAATTTTTTTCCCAAAGTTATTACTACTGAATGGCTTTTCACCATTAGCTTCGCACCATGTACGATACTCCTGATATAACATAGCACAACCTGGTTTTTCGATTTGATCTTTTGACCATACCGAAATATGATCAATTATGAATCGGATGGGGTTTGGGAGATGCTCACGCATTGTCTCTGTTTTCATTTTAGTGGTAGGAATATTTTCTTGTGGATTCCAATTCGAAAG